CAAACATACCAACCATGCCATATTATATTTGGTCCCAAGTCTTCTAGCCCAATTTATTGCAAACCTCACTTGCACTGAGTGGCAGAAGCTGAACAACGTATCTGGTGCTTGGTTGGCAGCAGTGCTCCTTCTACTGACTTTTTCAGAGCTCTCTCTAGGTATGCTTAGTGACCTCATAACCTCTTATGATGAAGCAAAATGGAAAGATCATGAGATGATTAGCCTTTTCTCTCCTTTTCTCTCCATTTTGATAAAAGCTCAGAGTTTCAACCCACTCTGGGGCTCTTCTCAAATGAAATTATTCTGGTGATGAGCCAGGTATCCAACACATGCCAGCTGCAGGGCTCACAACTCAGCTTGTGACATGTAATGGCTTCTGTTCAAGGAGGGGAGGGGGCCTGGGTGATTCAACCATGAAAATAAACCTTAACTCTAGCGTCTCCAGTGTACAGAGGAGGAATGCAAGCTTCCAGCATTCTAAGACCCTTCATCTCCATGAGAAGATTCATTAGCCTCATTTTTTTAATTAAAGAGCAAATGTTGTGAGGTTGTTGCTATCCTGTGCTATATAGTTCTTTTAGGTCTCAGCAGATGGTTGCATTTAATCTTTAGAAAAATAAAAGCACCAGCAGCAGCCACAGAATCCAGTGACAGGAATTCAACATCTATAACAAAATTCCTACGTTCAAGCGCATAGCTTCCAAAGCCAGTGGAGTGGCTCCACTCACATTTTTTAGGGTTCAACATATGTTGCTTCCATACAGATGTTTTATTCTGGTTTGACATCTGAACTGGAGGTTTTTTGGGGGGGTTGGTGAGGGGAAGTGTCCGTATGACATTGTGCCTTAATTGTCCACTTTCTAGGGTTTCCCCTGCTTGTCTCCAACTTTTCTCAAATGTGATTTGATATGATCTTTTGAGAAAGATTACAGTTAAAGAATGTCATGTCCACGATGGTGCCATTTTCCTTGCTCCAGCCCCCCAGTTAACCCCCCCGGGCCATCAGAGGACTTTTTAAAAATTGGTAATTGTTATATAGGATATTTTTTTCCAGCAGAGTTGACTCAGTTTTTAATTGTGTATCAATAATTTGTCAATGCTTTATTTAACTCACTAAGAGCCCCTGACTGTAAAGCAGCCTGGAAGCCCAACTAAATAAGAATAGGTAGTTTTTAAAAGCATGGATAGGAAGTACCCCTCTACCCCCTACCCCATTTCCACACAAAGGGCCAGAGGCACATACTGCTGAATCCACTCATCAGGATATATAAGAACTTAAAAATTCCAGAGCACAAGCAGTGAGGTATGCCTGGAATATCTATATACTAATAGTCAAGGGTCCCTTCTCTGTGCGGATACTTATTTCCACAGATTGGGACCGCATGGGGGAAAAAGAGATTATCCTGCACACGTCAGTTACTTCCCACGTGTGCAGAAAAAAACAGCCAAAAAGTAAAACAGAGTTCACTGTGGCTGTATAGAGAACGGACTTACCAGGGCAGAGGGGGAGGAGCCTTCTCTCCCCGACCCTCTCTCTCCTGTTGTTTTGATAGCATTGAGTCCTCCCCATGGCCACGCCACCTCCACCGAACGTTCAAGCCTCCAACAGACAACAGTTGCGATTTAAAGCAAACTGCAGCAGCTCTCAGCAATCTTCACTGTGCTCCGACAGCTCCTTCCACTTTGCAAGAAGGAAGCGCACATACACACACACACACACACACACACACACACACAGGGACACGAGCACGCTAGAGCAGCTCTTCCCCCACCTCCTCCCAGCTAATTAAGTTTTAGGTTTACTGATAGAAGGGGGCAAAAACAGAGTGGGCAGGGAGGAAAACCTTTTTTTCTTTGGAGAATGCAAGAGTGTGTGCCAAACTTCCTTCTCAGATGCTAGAGCCAGCAAGCTTTTGTATCACCCTTTGCAAAGAAGTCTGGAGCAGAAGGATTTTGCCCAGAGGTGGGTCAGCCTGGCCAGTTCTTTCCCTGCATTGGAATGCCAATAGAGTGGGAATGGCAGAGGCTTCAAATGTAGCTCCCCCCCCCTCCCAGTGACACTGCTCTTTGATGCCTCATCCTGACCAAAGTGGTATTGTGTAAATCAGCTGTAATGTTGAGTTACAGTAGTTTAGTCATGGGAATGCTATTAAAACTGCAGAGCTCTGATAACAATGATTACTTTTAAACTGTGGGGTTTCTCTGGACTGCAGCCACCAGTGTTCCCTCTAAGCTGAGTTAGTGTGAGCTAGCTACAGCTTTTTAGCCTCCAGCTCACAGATTTTTGTCCTAGCTCAGGGAGTCACAACACATTATGCAACATTTTGTTGCGGGTCCCCTCTTGTTACATATAAAAGCCAAATTCTGATATAACACTGAAGCATATATATCTCTTCTCTGTTACTCTGAAAGAAATTTGCCTTTATTAAAATCTGATAGGGTCAATGGGTGCCAAATAAAAGTGTTTTATTGGCCAGATAGCCCACCATCCACAAGTTGGTTACTGTAGCTCTCTGTTCCACAAAGTTATCTGGTTTCAAGCTGATTTGGTCCTCTGATATACCATTCTTGGGTTCCACTCAGATGGAGGCACCTTTCTCTTAACTGACAACGCTTTCTCTTGTCATTGGGGAGACTTAAGTAAGATGTGATCAATCTGTCTAAAATCAGGAATGAATCTGGAGAAAGTGAGTAACTATGGAAATCACTACAATAAGATGCTGCTGAGCAAGATCACATTGCTACCTACCACACAGATGCTGTCCAAAATGTCCTTAAGTTACTTATTCTTGAGGGAGTAGTAATGCTTGGCAGATAATTTTTTCTAGTAAACTTCTTTATTGTATGTTACTAGGTAAGAGGCAAAATAATGGCAAATGCAAAGAACTTGGGGGCGGGGTGTGGAAGTCTACTTGCTTTACATTTACGCTATCCTGTGCTTTTGGTGTCAGGTGTTCCCGGAGGGACAAATGCGAGCGAGCAAATGAACCATACCGATTTGCAGCCAGCATCAACCAGTGTATGAGTATCATTGTGCAGCCCAGCAGTATTCCAGTTTCTGAGCACAGCCTTCCGGTAAGTAGCAGTGGTGGAAAATGGCTTCCTTAATTGATGTTTCCTGTGCTTGCTTTGTGAGGCTTTCAGTCACTCTGTGTTAATTTCAGGTATGGATTCCATACACTGTGGTGGCCAGATGCAGGGCTTGATGTGGATTAGCTTTTTCCACACCACTGTGAAAGTAGAGCACTACAATGGTGTGTAGAAATTCATGCTGTGATCTGTGTGGGGCAAAACTGTCACTATCACCTCAGCACATGGCACCAGGGGTTGGAAGTCAATACAAATCGACTTTTGTGTACTGTAATTTAATATTTGTGAGACTAGGCCCTAAGGATTCATCCTTCACTGACCAACCTCTGGGTTTTAAGAGTATTAATGGAAAAATATGTTTTCAAATGACATGTGGAAGAAAGTTCCCCTGGTTGGAAGCTAGGCTATTTGTAGCACTATTAAAAGCTTTTGTCATGTCTAGCTGGGAGAGAATTGTTGATTGTGGTTCTGCCCACTGGTATTATCACATAGCAGGTCAGCTGGGTGACTGCAACTGCTATAAAATGACGTGCAAAGCTATTGAAGAGCAGCTGGCCGCTTGACTGCTGCTTCACTGCTGAGGATGGGAAGAATGGGAATAATGTTTCATGGTTGTGCCAGTTTCTTTCTGCTTCCTTTCTTCCTTTTAATAATTTGTATCCCACTCTCTGCACTGGAAGAGATCAAGTCAGCTTACGTACAATTCAAAACAATATAAGCAATGTTACAATCAGCCTAACACTATGTGTGGTACATGTGTGGTGTTAGGACTTTGAAAGCTATTTAGAACATTCATTGTGGTTGTCTCTTTCCTTTTCTCTCTAGCTCAGCTTGCTAGTGAGTGATGCACCTGATCTGTCAACTGGTATCACCTGCGTATTTGGAAACCTCACAGAAGTGGAGGGCCAAGTTTTGGGCAACCAGATTGTATGCATCTCACCAGTATCTAAGGATGTCCCTGCCATACCTGTGGACCAGGGTGAGCTGGCTTATTTATTGAGCTATAATAGGGGCAGACAAACTGCAGTACAGGTATCACAAATGGCAGGATTTATGGAATTTGCTTGGAGTAGAAACTGGAGAGTTGGTGGGCCTAGTATTAGAGTTAGGCTCCTATGCTGCTTACCTCCCCAGTGATGCCTTTAGTATTAGGCTCCTATGCTGCTTACCTCCCCAGTGATGCCTTCTCTTTCAACCTGAAGCAAATCTGCCCCAATGTACATTTATCATGCTGGTTTGCACTAGAAAGGCACTCCCCTGTTGTCTTGTGACACACCTGCCAAAAAAAATTGGCCATCGTTAGGATACAGCAGGCCTGTCTGTTTGCATTCTTTGTGAACCAGCAGCACTCCATGGGAGGGACTAGCAAGTCTTACATTACATAACGAATGACAGAGAATTCTGTGGCACCTTAAAGACGTTCATTGTGGCAAAAGCTGCAATGAGAGGGGAAAAATGAAATACTAGATACCAGAAGGTCGGTGGCATTTCAATATACAGCACAGGGATATACAAGAAAAGATCAGAAAGAAACATTCACAAAAGATCTCCCTGGAATACTGTGTTTCTATCAAAGTCATTTGGATTGAACACCCATAGTAGGAAAGGTACCCATGAGACTAATTAAACATTAATAAAATAGAATTGAATTTACTGATAAATTTTAGTTTGGTCTCTTTTTTATTTAGTTATTGAATTGTGGTGCCTTTGTGGTCAGTAGCAAAGTGCCTTCGAAGACTGCAGCATTCTCCCACTAGTTTCTGAGTGTTGCCACTTTGGATGTCAGTTTTATTTATTTATTTATTTATTTTTGAGATTTTTATTCTGCCCTCCCCAAAGCAGACTCAGGGTGGATCACAAAAGCCGAGTCCAAGACTCGTCACAATAAAATCAAATTTAAAATAGTTAAAACACTAACAATAATGATCCATACAGGTAGCAAGAATTTCATACCTGTTAGAGCCACAGATGGAATTCAGTGGGCCCTTTCAGCAGACTGGGAGCCAGACTGAGATCAGGGAGGATGGATGCCCGCCACCTCAACCAACAGCCTGGTGGAACAGCTCCATTTTCAGACCCTGCAAAATGAGAAAAGATCTCACAGGGCCTTGATCTCCAGTGGGAACTGATCCCACCAGGCCGGAACCAAGGCGGAAAAAGCCTTGGCCCTGGTCGAGGCTAAGCAGACATCCCTCGGGCCAGGGGTAACCAGCACTTGTTGATCCTGATTTTATGTCCATTCATTCGCTTGCATAGAGGTAGAGCTATAAACAGTTAAAAAACCAATGTTGACAGGTGAAGACATATGCCAGAATGGAAAATACGCAGGTAAATGCCAGCAGATGTTGATCCTGATTTTATGTCCATTCATTCGCTTGCATAGAGGTAGAGCTATAAACAGTTAAAAAACCAATGTTGACAGGTGAAGACATATGCCAGAATGGAAAATGTGTAGGTAAATGAGCCCCTCGAGATATGGTTTATATTACTATGTTCTATAAGACCATTGTTTGACCGATATAGCAATAGTATAGGCATCAGCGTATGTTGATGAGTCTGGTCCCAGGGCTTCTGTTTCTGTTAGGTGACCCATCATTACTAGTAAGAAGCTGGTTTAGATTGGAGTTCTGTCTGCAAGTTAGGACGGGCTAGCCTCCCAGAATCTGTGAGAAAGAAGTGTCATTGTTCAAGGTAGACTGTAGATTCTTGATGTTCTGTTGAGCGCTTTGGGTTAGGACATGTGATATCAAGGGGTGTTCTGTTATGTTGTCTGTTGAGCTTGGCATGCAGTAGGTACTGCCTGGATGTTAGTGTGGTCTTGTCAGTCTCTTTCTTTATTTCATTAGGTTGCTAAAACAGTCTTAAGAATGCCTAATATGGGAGATGTGAGTCCTTGTGTAAGTGTTGCCTGGAAACTCTACCAGTGAGCAGAGCTCTAAGTGCCAAATGGCTGGTGGGAAGGGGATAGTATCCGCAAACATGGCTCCCCTGTGTTTGCCTGTAGTGGGAGTAAGCCCCTTCTATCAAATCTTGTGCACCCCACACATTTAATAGTCAAACTTCAAGCCATCTGCTTTCTGGGCTTATGTCTTATTAGGGGTCTCATTCTTTTGTTCCTTGAGGCGGACCAGGAAGGAGGTGACATGTGTGTTACTCACGCTTTGAGGTCTGACTCAGTCACCAAGAGTGGGTGGAAGAGGTTTCTATTTTTCAGGCTGTTGCTTTGTGAATGTCACTGCTGTCAAGTTCTTTCTTACACACATGCTTATGTTCATCGTTAATTGTTTTAAACTTATTTTCTCATTGGCTGGTTTCCAAGTATTCCTACTTGGGTAGAGGCAGTACAAACTTTAATACCAACTTCAAATGAATCCATTTCCATAACTGTAAAGAAACTGTTAGGAGTATTTTTGTTCTGTTAGTGTCACATCTGTTTAGCGTATAGGTGGAATAAATAAAAAGGCATCATCTGCCAAACTCAGGTCCAGTTTTCACATGCATGGGTATGAGTTGGAAGAATGGACTGTACCACTTCAGAGTGCAGGAGGAGGATCATGTTTCACAATGCTTCCCTATATTATCCAGTGTGGGGTAGTGGTTAGAGGGTCAAGCTAGGATATGGAAAAGCCCAATTTGAATCCCCACTCTGCTATGGAAGTTTGCTAGGTGACCTCGGTCCAGTCACTTTCTCTCAGCCTAACCTTTCTCATAGTATTTGCTGTGAACATAAAATGGAAAAGGGGAAAACAATATAAGCAGCTTTGGGTCCAAATTGAGGAGAAAAGGAAGGAATAAATAAAAATAAACTCTGGCCCTGGTCACACGGGCCGGATAACGTGGGGGGGAGGTGTGGCTAATTGCTCCGGTGCAATTAGAGCCACCAGAACGCGATCTGACGTGTCGGCGGCAAACCATGGGTCCTGTCCTCCCCGCCTGCACATTAACGAGGGGCCGGCGCGATCACACCGCAGGAGTCCAGAGGCAGCCTGTGGCAAACCGTTTCCCACTACATATGAGGTACTGTTTTTTTACTGTGCTTTTTCGGCGGTTGCCACGGGTTGGCCATGGGTGCACTCCACTTGCCAGATGTTGCGGTGTGATCGTGCCCCAATAATCCACCCACCACCCGTGGCTCTCCCGCGGCAAATTCGCTGTGTGACCGGGACCACTATTTTAAAAAAAACAGCGCAGCAAGCAAAGACCCTTTATGCACTTGTGGTTTCCCTCATTTTCACAATCTCTTTGTCACGGTATCTATTTTGTTCTGCATTTCCCCCTGATTTCACCTTGCCTGTTCATCTGAGGCTTTTTTTTAAAGTTCTGCTTTGATTTTCATCCCTTCAGCTCTCCATTTGCTTTCCATTTGCTGTTTCCCCAGCTTTTCTGAAGGTGGTTTTGTGACCATTTCCCCCCTTGCTCCCCTTCCAAGATGATGGCAATTCAAAAGTTTACATTTTCCCTTGGATTCCCCCCTGCCCTTTCCCTGTCCCTTGGAGGCCACTCGCTGCCAGCATCGAGATCATTCTGCCTACTCTGCACCTTCTGCCATCTTCCCCCTTCATTGGTGCTTACTTTTTCCGTCAAGTAAAGTTTTGTTTTTAACAAGCAGGATGAGTTTAGTGGAATCAGTTTTTCACTAAACTGGGTTATCTGGGTTGAAAAAAGTATATTCATAGGGAAAGGCTGAGTTGGTGGTTTGTGTGTGCAGGACATGATCCTTCAGGGAGAGTCCCCACCACCACAGGATCAGCTGGGGCTCTAATGGGCAGTGTGCAGGAGATGATCCTTCAGGGAGAGTCCCCCCCACACACACAGGATCAGCTGGGGCTCTAATGGGCAGCTTGGCTTAAAATGGACAGCTCAACAGAGCCCACCAAGTTTAAACCAGCCGGCAGGAGAAGGCAGGGCACAGCTGAATTTTCTGTGAGCCATTGGCATCGCTGTGCTTCTGGGGAGCCATACAGCTCTGTGCTGCCTTCTCCCACTGCCCTGGTGAGAGGGTGAGGAATCTGCCCCACCTCCACCATCACTCATCAGAAACCAGGACAAACCTGTCCTCTGAAGCTTAAAGGAGAAATCTTTAGCCTGGCTTCCAATTCTCTGCTTCTCAGATCAGGGAAGAGTGAGGGAGAGGCAGGCTGCCTAGAAAGGTGGGGGAGGTGAGAGGCCAAGAGGGGAGAAGCTAGCTGTGCGTGTAGGAAGGGGAAATATTTGCTGATAATCAAAATTTAGTGACATCCAAGCAGCACCTTTGCTTCCGCAAAGGCGCTCAACACACACATACACACACACAGAAGAGCTGCCCTCTCTGTGCTGGGCAATATGGAAAATGGCTTCTCAGCTCCTTGTCAATTTCAGGACAAGTCTGGTCCATTTCAACAATAGATTTTCTCCCTTTGCCTGCATTCCTTTCTGTTCCCTATCATTCAAGGTACTAACACTAAAGGCATCCACAAACCATGAACTATGAGGATTTAAATGGAAGGTGCTTGCTGGACACTACTGCGCAGCTGCGATGGGGCAACTGCATACTGTTTTAAAAAAATGGACACTGTCCATCACACCAGTGACATTCCACCCTAATTTAGAGAAGTGTGTGTGTGGGGGGGGGGGGTTGTAGCTGCAGAATAAACACACCAGGTGGTGTAAGACTGGTGCAGACAGCAAGCACAGAAGTCTGATGTTGAGTTTAAAGGCCTGACTGCTTGGATACTTTGCAGTAAGTTGTGCATGCAGAAAGGACCAAAGGTAAAGATAGGACTCTGTTTCATGGAATTTTGAATGCAAGAAATAGGCGGAACTGTAGTATATCATGTGTAGTCTGATTGAGGGCAATCGTTTTACCAGCTCAAGGGCTTTGCTTCCTTACTTCAACTTTATTCTGTTGCATGTGTCAACCAGTCCTTGTGTCCCAGTTCTTCTATTACTCTGAATATGTGGGATCCTTGTAGTATGAAAAAGAACTCCATGCTGTGACATCTACCCATGTCAGCATCAGCTGTCAAATAGTTGGGTTAATGTTGGCTTCAGCATGGGCTCCTCCTGCATGGTCTGGTGTTTCTCATGCTATTCTGGCAATTTGAGAAACAGTAGCATTGGTGTGTCTTCCATACGATGATAGTACCATCCTAAGTCAAGTTATACTTTTCTAAGGCCATTGACTTCAAAGGGCTTAGAAGACTGTAACTATGTTTAGTGTGGCATTGTGAGAGAATTAAGTCTTAGAACTTATGACAAGGTGTTGGAAAAGACATACAGGGCCTAGTCCTCTTAGGGCTAAATCACTGATTAGATGTGATCCCAGTGGCCCACTTAACAAAAGTAGGTTACCAGATACTTTCCCCTGTGTAGGGTTACTCATCCGACATCAAATGCATGAAAGGTGTTTGATGTATCCCAGTTTGAAAGAACAGGTTGCAACAATCTCACTGGACAAGGCAGGTGAACAAAAGAAGGAAGAACTCCAGAAGGATGTAAGAAAGGAACCTGGCAGATAATGAATCTATATATGAGCAAACTAAACGATTCCATCTGATTTTTTTTCTTTTAATTGTCCTTTCCTCTCTTTCTTTCTCCAGACTGGTTTGGGATAGAGCTGCTGCTGAAATCCAAAGAGACAGGCAAGATGTTTGTCAGCACTGAGTTCAAGTTCTACAACTGCAGTGCCCACCAATTGTAAGACTCTACTTCTGTTCCTCCTACTCACTGGAACCTGAAGATTCTAATACTAAGAGTTAGCAATATTCAGTGCAGGAGACATCTCAGTACCAAGTAATAGCCAGTTTGGTGTAGTGGTTAAGTGCATGGACTCTAATCTGGGAAAACTGGGTTTGATTCCCCACTCCTCCACTTAAACCTGCTGGATGACCAGGGGCAAGCCATAGTTCTGTCACAGCTGTTCTCTCAAGGACAGTTCTCTCAGAGCTCTCTCAGCCCCACCTACCTCACAGGGTGTCTGTTGTGCGGAGGGGAAGGGAAAGGAGTCTGTAAACTGCTCTGAGACTCCAAGTGAAGGGTAGGGTATAAACCCAATCTCTTCTTCTCTTCTTCTTCTTTCCTAAGTTAGTTAGGAAATACATTTTTGTTACACCTGTATATATTGAGCATAGCTTGATAATCTCGCCACTAAAGCATAGTATAGAGATTATTAGATGCCAAAGATGTGCCATTGAAATATCAGGACAGTGTTGTGATATGAATCATTGTATGCTGCTTCAAGCATTGCTTTTGGGAGTCTAAATAAACAAAAAAACCCACCATGTTCTAATAACTCTACACAGACAATTTCCCCACTTCAAAGAAGAAGATGCTGTAAGGTCACCTCCATTACCAGGAGGTTATGGATGGAACATAATGGCAGGGGCCCAGTTAATTACTCTCAGCATTCCACAATTAAGGTTACATCTGCTTATCAATCTCCAGTGTTAACATATTTATTTCCTTCTCTATGTTTCCTCCCAGAATTAAACCCAAACGGTAACCTAAACTTGTTATTCCTGTTGGTCCTTGCATCTGTAAAATATCTTAATTATGCTGTATAGTAATTTACTGCTCACCCTCAACCTATATGTATGGACTGGTAACTTCCATTTCATTGTATCTGAAGAATTCTGTCTGCACATGAAAGCTTATATCTTAAATAAAGCTTTGTTGGTCTTAAAGGTGCCACTGGACTGAAACTTTGTTCTACTGCTTCAGACCACCACGGCTATGCACCTGATTCCACCATGATCCGAGATACTGTGCTTGTATAGCTGTTAACATGCCTCATGCTTAGCACTCATGTGCTGATGGATTAAGTGTTAGCATCAGGATCTTGGCTTTGATGGTCTTAAAGCCAAGTCTTGGAATTTTTAAAGCAAACTTTAATGTTCATGAGGGCTCAGGTGCATGGTGCTAATGTTTCAAAAAGAGGAGAGCACTTCCTCAAAGGAGACTGTGGCCCAAAGATGCCATTTATTATTTATCAGTCCTAAAGTGGGGAAGCAGAAAATAGCAGAAATCACTCTGTAGCTGAATTCACATGTGCTACTTGAAGCACTTTTCAGCTCTTCTGCTTGGTATGCACATGTGCAGGGCCGGCCCCAGGTTGTCCAGCGCTCTAGGGGAGTGCAGATGCCAACCTCCTGGCGGGGCCTGGAGACCGCTCCTGGCTGGCTCCAGAAGGCACTCCTCCTCCTCTGCAGGTGGGGGGGGTCAAGACGGGGAGGAGGTGTGCCTTGCCTGGCCCCCCTCCAACCCTCGCCTCCCCGGCTCGCCTCCTGGGCGCGTCGCCTCCCCCCCGGCTTGCCTCCCTCCCCCGGCTCACCTCACCTCGCCTCTAAGATGTGGAGTCTTGTGAGCCGGCTGTCTTGTGAGCAAAAATCCTACTTTGGGAGCTAGTACTGGCATTAAAGTGAGCAAAAACATCCCAGGCAGGAGCTTGGAGCCACGCTGAACCCGCGCTCGCCTCACCTCCCCCCCCGCTCGCCTCGCCTCCCCGGCTCGCCTCCTGGGCGCGTCGCCTCCCCCCCGGCTTGCCTCCCTCCCCCGGCTCACCTCACCTCGCCTCTAAGATGTGGAGTCTTGTGAGCCGGCTGTCTTGTGAGCAAAAATCCTACTTTGGGAGCTAGTACTGGCATTAAAGTGAGCAAAAACATCCCAGGCAGGAGCTTGGAGCCATGCTGAACCCGCGCTCCCCTCCCCCCTCCCCTCCCCTCCCCTGGCTCACCTCGCTGCGCCGGCTTGACTCGCCTTTCCCGCTACCTGCAGAGGAGGAGGAGCGCCTTCGCCTCGCCCCCTGGCTCGCCTCGCCCCGCCCCCTGCGGAGGAGGAGCGCCTTCCGGCCAGGAGCACCTCACAGGGCGGCCAGCATCCACTGGGAATTCCCACGTTTAACATGCGGGATTTCCGGCTCGGGGGCGCTGATTCGGCCGTGGATGAGAGGCTGCCGGGCCCGGTGGCCGCCCCTACCTCTCCCCCTGCACCCCAATGGCCGGCTCGCACTCTAGGCGAAGGCCTAGTTCGCCTAGCAGGCGAGCCGGCCCTGCACATGTGAAAAAAGTAGGACTTGGACCCAAGGTAGTACAAACAGAGCTGTGCTACAGAAATGGTGACTTTACAGTCTCCTGCTGCATTAATCTGTCCCCCCCCCCAACTGTTCCTGCATTGTTCAGTGAACCTGCAGGAACAACAGGGGGTCAAGGTAAGGACAACAGTGAGAGGAGGGAGTCAGCAAAAGTCACACACCCTTTCTATGAGCAGAAAGACAGGATCTAAGCCCAAATTCTAAATACGTGGTTATCAGGTTTCTCTCAAATAAAACAGAAACACAATTGAAATCCACTTGTGCTTGGTTTCTAAATTGATTAACGACTACGCAGGAAGGTTGGTTGACAACCACATTTCAGCCTTGCTGAACTTTATACACATGTAATTCCAGTCTAAATAAGAGGGAGCCCTCAGGAAGCTATCCCCAGCTGAAACAGAGTAGAAAATAGCATTGGGGCTCTGCATACTGAGATGCTCAAACTAGACCATGGGCATAGAAAGGGAGATCCATTTCTAGGTTAGAACTGAAGACTAAAGAGCAGGTGACATTCAGATGGAGAGAGAAAGGGGTCAAATACATGAATAATTAAATATGCTCAGCTCACACTTCATCATATTGCTACCCTCTTCCGATTTGCAATTGTTTGTAAATGAGCTTTCTTTACTATTAAGGTGATTACAAAAGTATCAAAAAGAAGATACAATTTAGGATATGGTTAATATGTGTTTTAGTATAATAAGGGGGAGAAGCATGCACCTTCTTCAGTTTGGCATTGGGGTATTTTCTGTTGAGAAAATGGTGCGATTACTTGTGTGCCTCATTTTAGATAACAAATTGTAACATTGCTTTCTCAGTGATGCCAACGAAACTACGGTAGTACAGTGGCCCATACTTGCCTTAGAAATCTCTGAACATCTGTTGTATTACCATTGGTTGTTGGGAGGGGGGAGAAAAAGAAGGTTTTGTGCTATTAAACCAGTAAACTAGTGTGAGGGGTTGAACTCTTAGATTTTAAGGATGCTGTTGGCTTTTGCAAATATAAAATCCCCCCTTTTTCTTCAAAGCTTTTTATTATTAGAAGTAGAAGAAAAGACTCTTCCACACTAGAAGCAGAAATGCTCATGATTCAAATGCTGTTTAGAGTTTTGTCCCTTTGGGATCTGCTGCTCTGAAAATATCCCAAGGCAAAAAATGGCTAAAAACATCATTTCAGTGACAGGAGAAGAAAAATTGCATGCATAGCAGAGGCTAACCAAAGCCCTGGGCAAAATCTGGAGCAGTTGTACAATAGAATTGTAGCAGTCTTTGCTTGAGCTCCAGCTGACCCACTAGATGGCATTAAACTATTATTGCTGCTGTCATATATGAGTTGCAGACAGTGACTTTCAAGACACCAGGTAAAGCTATATATTATCCATCTGATGCCCTGTGAAACTTGAAATCTTCAGGAAAAAAATAAGACAAGATCTCCTGTGGGATGCATTTACACACACAAACACACACACGGGATTGAACTTTCCCCTGTAAATAGTTAATTGTATTATTTTGTCTCATTATCCAGGAAAATAGAGCTTCAGAGCTATCTCACTCACAGTCATAGGGGAAAATCTATCCGTCAACAAATTAACTCTTTTATATTGACTAGTTTTGATGTTTCAGTTTACCATCTGCTTTACTTAAAGGAAGAAGAATTTATAAATATTCAGGCCAAAAGTCATATATTACCCGCCCCAAAAAATTGCATGGCTTTTTTGTTTAGATATGGAGGAAGGGGTATATGGAATTACGGTGATCATGTGAAGCCCTGTCCCCATAAAACTGATAATCATGGTTTATTTGGGCTAAGGGTTTTAGTTGGTTAGTGAGGCAGCCAGGCCCTAAATGATTCTCCTACCACATCTTTACATACTGGTAAACTATGCGAGGCTAATTTGAATAAACTCACCAATTAGTGCCTGAAAGGTGCTGGCCAATATTCTCCACCAGATCTGCACTATGTCCACATGTTATTACAGCAAGGCAAGTGAGGGGTATGGAAAAAGTGTTAAGTCGTGCGCTTAACAAATATAAATATTCAGGCCAAAAGTCATATATTACCCGCCCCAAAAAATTGCATGGCTTTTTTGTTTAGATATGGAGGAAGGGGTATATGGAATTACGGTGATCATGTGAAGCCCTGTCCCCATAAAACTGATAATCATGGTTTATTTCGGCTAAGGGTTTTAGTTGGTTAGTGAGGCAGCCAGACCCTAAATGATTCTCCCACCACACCTTTACATACTGGTAAACCATGAGAGGCTAATTTGAATAAACTCACCAAGTAGTGCCTGAAAGGTGCTGGCCAGTATTCTCCACCAGATCTGCACTATGTCCACATGTTATTACAGCAAGGCAAGTGAGGGGTATAGAAGTATATCACAACTAAAATAAACATTGTGTTATCATTTATTTTGTTATCTTTGTATTTATCTCTCTGCCAAAATATCCACTATGAAGGTATAGGGAGTGCAATTTTATATTCTTGTCTCAAGCACAAAATTGGCTAGTTCTGGTTCTGGTTAGGGCCTAACAGTGAAATCAAGTTACAAGTCCAATTGTTAATTTCTTCTGTAAAGCTGCCAGTACAAAGCAGGCAAAGATGACCTTCTCACAAGGCTAGTGTAACTTAAAAAAATCTTTCTTGGCCCTTGGTGATGATTGGCTAATCATACATGCAGGGCATGTGGGTTAATATGCTTGCGCATTTTGAGGGGATTATCAGCTTTATGTAAGTGTACTTTCTCTTTCCACTGGCTAAGTCACATGAGGCCCTGCCTGGGTCCACCCCAAACCATTATGTTTATACTCTGCAAGGGAGGAAAGAAATTCACTTGTGTTCAGGCATCATAAAATGTTCATTAAATTGTACCACATACATTTTCATGAACACTTTAAATATATTTATCATGTTATCTTATCAATGAATTCATTATTGATTATTCAGTAGTAATGACACATCAACAAAACTTTAAAAATGCCCAAGGATAAAGTCTAGAAAGCACCAGTTTTACACCCACACCCACACACTGTAACTTAGTTTTTTCTTCTTTTTTGACAGGTGCCTCTCTTGTGTGAACAGTGCTTTTCGTTGCCACTGGTGTAAATATCGGAACCTCTGCACCCATGATCCCACAACGTGCTCATTTCAAGAGGGGAGAATCAATGTTTCTGAGGTATGGACACCGGATTATGGGTTAGGCAGTACCTTTTAGTGCAGCAGTTCCCAGGTGTTACTCTCATGAGACTTTATAATTTAAAAACAAGAAAGAAGCCTTCCCAAAGTGCACAGTAAAGGTAAGTAGTTTGGCTCTTATTTGCTTTTATTTCAGTATTACGGGCTGCCAGGGCTACAAGTAAATGGAGGATCCAAACCTTCAGAGGTGCACAGCATGCTTTCAAGCCAAAGACAGGAGATATACTTAGAACAGAAAGCTTGTGAAAATGTCACCATGTTGGGAGGACAGTAAATAGCACCTGTTTGATCAGTGCAAGAAAGAATAATTCTTACCATCTTTTGTTCTAGCAGAAATTCCTTTCTGTAACTTTAGACAGTAATGTACCACCTGTTTACTCAATCAGAAAACCCAGAGAAATAAATGGGACTTATCCATGCATAGCTTGTAGGATTGCAACATTAATTGTCACAGCCATAGCAACACAGAGATATCTAGACTGTGCACTTTGCAACTGGATTTTACTGTGTGAAACAGCAAAACCACTTGCAAATGATTGCTAAAGTGCACTGAATGTAGATTGAAAGTGCATTATTGAGTGTGTATGGAAGTGCCCTTATATCACAAATAAGGAACTGAGGGCCAAATTAGATATCTGGGAGATCCATATGGAGATCTCAGTGTTTAATACATGGCAAGAGCAAGTATGGGAGTCCCATGGTGAGAGGAGGACCAGAAGGTGCCTGTCTTTTTTTTTGTTCTGAGGGCTAATAGTGTAAGGAGGTTAAATCCATTCTTTTCCTGCACTGTAACTCCAACCTAAATAAAAAACCTGTGCAGTGGCTATTTCCCAGCATCCTGTCTAGTTCAGTTTTCAGTCATAGAACTACCAAGAGGGGCTTTTCAGGGGCAATTGAGGGTGCAAAAAGAGGTAAGTACCAGCTGTTATATGCTTCCTCTTCACAGTGATGGAGAAGTTTAAACTCATTGCCAGTGTTCTTACACTTTGATAATATGTTTGAAACTAGCCCAAATTTATTAACACATTTTAAAATGCTGGTGTGGCTGTTCAGCTTTTTGTTCCAGGTTATGGTCATTACAGACTAGGCAGAGATTGAGAAATCACAAACATCAACAGCCCAAATGTTTGAAGAGTCACTGTAGTGATGAATAAAAAACCCCAGGAAAGCAGGGTACTGAAGCTTGGTAGCAAGTCTTAATATCGTAGTCCTCCTCCCAGATAGACCAAAGTGCTACCACACCCCTCTGAAGTTCCTTCCTTCTCAACCCCCACCAGCAATCTTCTTGGGATAAAACACTGTGGGAGCAGAAGTTAGGAGAACACAGCAGCTTCCAAGAAGGGGTTGTGGCTCATTGGTACAGCCTCTGTTTTCTACACTAAAGGTCCCAGGTTTAATCCTCAACATCTCCAGTTAAAAGGATCAGGTACTACTGGCACTGAAGTTGTGAGCAAGTGATTTGGCTACTGCATAAATTAGTTTGCTCTGGAGCCATCCTTCCTGAGCTAAGACAAAAACGTGTGAGCTGGAGGCTAAAAATCTGAGCTATCTCACACTAACTCAGCTTAGAGAGAACACTGGACAGGGTACTGCTCATGAGGTCTTTTGAGATTAAAGAGCCCATCAATATTTTTACTAATTTGGTTGCAAATTTCAGATATGTTCTACTTTGCTGGCAAGATTAAGCCATTGTCATTCATTCTCTTAAAGGAAGAGTCAGACCAGCAAGGAAATGACATGGAATCAAATAAACCACTCAGTTATAAAGGCAAAATTAAGTTTTGTTTGTAAAAGAATTTTGCTGCAAGCTAAATCAACAAGAAACACCAAGCTAAAACAACATACATCTTTCCTCTTAGAAAAGATGCCAGAAGATAATATAACATTAATGGGTTACATGTCTATGAACCTCATCAGGGCTTGGCAACAGAGAAGAAGCATACATTGGGAGCAGTCCCTGCCTCCTTGGTGCCTTTTACCAAAAGCCACACCAGACAGTTTGTGCTGTCTGAAACTTCAAAGCATTTCAGCCTGTGCGCAGAAAAGATGCCCAAGGAGAAGTTCTTAATTCTAGAGACAAAGCAAGAGCTTTAAATAGCCAGATGCAAAACCAAGATACATCTTTTTAAGATGGCAAGAGGGAACTATTATCTTTTATCTTTCCTGTGCTTCAGTGAGGATACATCTTCCTTCCTGTCCAGTGGGGTTGTCTTCATTCCTTTTACTTAATTTTGGGGGTTTGTTTTCAAGCTTGAAGGCAATGGCAGCAAAAGTTCCCTACTGCTGTAGGTTGCTCTTATTACCCCGGTAGGAAATGGAAGTGGGTAGAAAGCAGAAAGTGTGATTTCTCCAGACCAGGCTGAAGTGATGTACTTGGGAATTGAACTCTGGAGAGATTCTGAGTCTCTGTCTGCTCTAATTGGTATCACAGACCTTCTTCATAAATTCAGGCAGGGTATTAGAAAAAATGTTCTAAAATCTGTTCAAGTGAGAAATACTGAGAGTGGCAGGAGGCTTGGCTTTCTTGAACATCAGACAGTTTTATTTTCTTTTAATGACCCTGAAGCAAGACCTCTCTAGGTCTTGAAAAATCTGCCTCTGGGACTCCCCCTGCCACTTCCTTCCTGTCCTCTATAGCTGGCAAGGCTTCTGTTAGCCTCTTTCTAGTTAGTGTATGTTGAGCAAATGTATTGTGCTTCTTTGAGAGATCTCTCTGGCTAAGTGTAATAAGCAATGATACAAATAAAATGTTGTTTCTCTGTGCTACACACACACACACACACACGCAAACCCAACCTCCTAAGCAGGCTAATTTGTTTAGTCTTTCTGAGAAAAACAAAATGGGAGTTATGAATAAAGCCGAATCCGGTTATTGTTAAAAGCACTTTGCAGACAATAACTCACAAAGTTTGAAAATGTCTCAGTAAGGATTTGTTCCGTTTTGTTTGCTTATTTGCTTTCAGCACCACCTTGCTAGCAAAGCTGTCCTTACATCTCCCTTAATATAGTAGTGGAATATTTACATGAAAAACGCTTGCTGTGAACAGAAGATGCATTGTCTTCAGAAGCTAACCAAAGTGATACTAGTGAGGCCAAATGAGAAAGAAGTACACAGACAAGCTTCCTCGTGAAGTTCAAGATCAGGGTGTATTGTAAATATAGAAACTTGCCTTCACAATTATTTTGACACATTAACTTTTTTTTCCTAATAGGTTAAAATCATACTTTTTTCCTGATGTTAACCAGTGGTGAAAACCCTGACATGTTGCTTGCAATTGCTTGTTTATGTCAGAGCGAATGCAACCTGAAGCCTTTTAAAGTAAGGTTATACTTTGCAAAATGACTGAAAAAGTGGCACTTTCATGTTCTACCACCTTGTTCCCTATTAATGCTTGGAGGCAATTCTGCTGTCTGCAGTCACTCAAGTAAATTTGCGCTGCTTGGTTTCTTTGCCATTTTTATTCTAGACAAATTATTCTTTAATGCAGTTAAACAACTCTGTGCTTACTTCTGTGCAAGCCAGCCTGTTAAGGCAATGATGAGGTGTGACACAGTTTTTCTTTGAAGGATTAACTGAAATTACTACAATTCACATTATGAGAACCAGTTGTCCCAAGGTGTTAACTTTGTTACTGTGATATGTATTCTTAGATATCCATGACACCATGCATGTCTGAATGTTTCATCCAAGGTTGTGTTTTCCAATATACAAGAACATCCCTGCAGAATCCAGAGTAATGCAGAATGCATGCTCTTCAGGCAGATTCTCAAGCACCACTTGTCGATTATCGGATGTGAATGGGTTCTCACAGAACCCACAATATCTGTGTGAAACATTCCATACAGTCCTAGGGAATTTTTTTTTTTTTAATGTTCTGGGAAAATATAAGGGATAAGGACCACAGTGAACATCCAAGCACAGACTTGGGAAGTGGAAGTAGAAGTAATATCATCACAATGAATTCAAAATGGTTCTCGGCATCATGCAAGATCATTGCTTGAGCTTGGAATTTGGCCCAGAGATTAGCCTCCCTGTAGATAAATTAAACCACAGTGAACTCAGCATGCATCTAAGATTCCCCGTGTTGTATTTTCAGTGGTAGCACTTTTGTTGTTGTTGTTCAGTCGCACAGTCGAGTCTGACTCTTCGTGACCCCATGGACCAGATCACACCAGGCCTTCCTATCTTCCGTCGTCCTCTGAAGGTTGCTCAATTTCATGTTCGTTGCATCGATGACACTGTCTAACCATCTCATTCTTTGCCGTCCCCGTCTTCTTTGACCTTCAGTCTTTCCCAGCATCAGGGTCTTCTCCAGTGAGTGCTCCCTTCTCATTTGGTGGCCAAAGTATTTGAGCTTCAGTTTCATTATCTGGCCTTCCAGGGAACAGTCAGTACTTAGCACTTAAGGGAGAAATAATTTTGTTGCTATGGAATCATTGCCAAAATGAACATGTTAGCCCTTTATGCTAATATGCATACATTTAATCAAGGAACAAACATTCTGATTAATGCTGACTGCTAGGAATGACCACTTGTCACTGTCATAGTATTCCATAAGGAGCCGACCCAGGCTCCTAGGAAATTATTTCCATCCAGTTACTTCAGGAATTGAAAATAATATCATTGCACTATCGTGCAACTGTGTAGATGGATTTCTCTTATTAAGAGCAGTGGAATCACACATTTATAGTGTGATCCTAAACAAGAGTTGTCCTCTAAGCACACTGATTTCAGTGAACTTATACAGGTTATACTTATTCTGTTTAGGATGGCACAGTTTGTGTGTCAATGTACTCAGGGCTTTTTTTGTAGAAAAAGCCCAGCAGGAACTCATTAGCGTAATAGGCACACCCAACAGCAGAGACCTATTAGCATATTAGGCTACACCCCTGACAGCACAGTTCATTAGCCTATTAGACCACACCCAACATGTCACCAGAAGTGTGGTCATCCAACCACACCCACCTTTTGCTTCTTAT